TGGTGAGAGTCGTTTGTAAGAGAGTTCATGAAGTTTCATGGTAATTTGGTACGAGTGATGTCCCCAGAATCGCTCGGCCTTTTCTTTGAGAGTGCAGCTCTAGCCTTTACACAACCAAGTGTGACCTACAAGGCAGTAGGAGTGGAGTAGGGAGTCCACTATCCATTGGAAGCCGGTGACCGGAGTTCGGTTCATACGCCTTTTTCAATGGGGCCAGACATCCAGGACATCCAACAAGCCCTTTGTCCATACGTCTGCCGGTGAGCTCCAGTGAGCTTCATACGCCAGTTGTTGGAGGTTTGGAATCAGGGTTTAGCCATCTCCCTTAGACTGTCATCCAATGGACAGTCAACCCAGTGAAGAGCGCCGGGCATCCACTTTCGCCCTCTCACTTTGGTGAAGAACACCTCGGCCACGTGAAGGCAGTGAGTAGGACTTCCTCAGGAGAGGCTATGTAAGACGCCTGGTCATATGGGAGCATTTTAAGAGGTGTGTGGAGGGGTGGCCAACCCGCAGCGCAAGGCACCCACCCCCGACCATCCTGAGGCTTTGGAGGCAGTCCATTCGAGCTTGCTGATGGATACATTCATTATATTGTGATTGAAGTTGATTTTGAATTATCCCCACCGTGCACATTGGAATTCGATTGATGATTATACAATTGTGTAAAGTCATTTAATTCTTTCATGACACTGATAAACATTATATAAACCTGTTTTTTATTATGCGAAATGATATCTTGACCGACAAAATCATTAAAAGTTTATATTTCATTTTGAAACTGTTTTACTTTTAAGTGGTTTGAAAATCCCCATTCAGTCATATAAAAGAAAAGAAGGCGTTCAGCGAAGAGACTATTTTCGGCGAATTCATTCACTGAGCTGTACAATCGCATATTTATACAATTTTGTGTGTGTGTGTGTACATTGGATTTATGAAGTTTATATAATTATGTAATATGAGTATTTTTTGGCTTGGAAACAAACATTAAGATAGAAAATAAAATAGAATTGATTAAGTGAGTAGAATTCAGATTAGGTCAGGTTGGCAACAGTGTTAATGAGTGGTGTTTAAAATCAAATAAGGGTGGGGTTAGAGAATAATACAGTTGAAAATAAGTAAGTTAATCGGATGACGTAACGCAGTTGACTAGAAATTGGTTGGACGTGGATCAAGTTAGTAACATTGTTAGTGAGGGTAGAGATTACAAAAGGGTGGGGTAGAGAATAATATAAGTGAAGATGTGAAAGAATAAAATGCAAAAGACAAAATAATACAATTAGTAATACTGAAATTAAGAAAGATTACGTCCATTGTAGATTTAATGAATGAACGAATTTCTTTTGTATGCAGAGTTCAGGATTTAGCAGATGAATTGCCATTGCTTCTGCGATGTGGAGAAGTTTGTTCCGTACACTTTTAGCAAGATTGCCTTGTATTCTGTAGATAACTTTCAAGTTTATTTGTGGTTTGACTTGGTGTCCAGAGTCGATCAGATGTTCAAGAAACAAGCTGCGGGGGCATCGGTTTTCTCCTTTATAAAACCGTGAAGGTAAATGTTCGTTGACGCGTTTGGATAGCGAACGCTGAGTACGGCCGATATACCTGGCTCCACACGAGCAGGTGAATTGGTAGATGCTTTTGTCCTTGTATGGTTAAAAATCAGCGATATAATCCCGGTTGAGATTATACAGAGTAGTTGATATCTCATTCTTTACATTGTCTTAGTGAAATTGACTTTGTTAAATATATATATATCTAAATATCGTTACAGTATACATATGATTCTTTTCTCCCCAATGCCTCTAATCATTCGCTTTACCGGATAAAACTGTTTATATTTCAGAATGCCAGCTATCCTGAGGGAAACTTCGGCGGGAACCAGCTACTAGATGGTTCGATTAGTCTTTCGCCTCTATACTCACGGTATCCAA